GTTCAGTGTTCTTCATAATCTGTGTGACATTCACCCAGAAAGGTGACTTGTCGGGCACAATTTTCTTTTGGTTCAGCAGATGTTTTACTAGGAACGCAGGCAACACACGTTCTCTTTCAAGTTTCAAGTTCTTTATAATCGGATGCACAAGTATGACAGCGAAGCAGTCGTTGGCAATGACTGTCTCGGATCGAGCTCCCTCCAACAATGATCATTAAATATCAGCCCAGTCTCGTTCTCAGGTCATCAAATACCGACGTTTTGTCACGGCCCGCGATGTCTGATAACGATGTACAAGGCATGGAGGGTTAAAAAAGGAGACGTCGCTTCTCATATCATTGGGGTACAACACATGCCCAGTAAAATGTAGTCTGCACTTGCCGGAAGGCTCACTAGCCAAAAAATCTTTTCTGAATTTCTTGACCAAATGTTAAACTGTAACTTTTGAAATTAAGTCTGACGGTACAAATTAATTCTTGTTTTAATCACGATATGCAATGCTAACTTTGTCAATGTGTTCAAGTGGGGGGGGAAGTCACAATTGTGATGGTTCCAACGGGCCTGAAGCCTTTGTATAATCTGTATAATCACAGTCCCCTATGGCGTTAGCTCTAATTGCTAATCCTACAGACACAAAATCACAGACAGAAGCTGCGATATGAGGCTCTGCAGTGGGGGTGGGGGGGGGTGCAATTGTAGTTTAATTAAAAACCCAGGAAATAAAGCTCATTTGAGTGCTAAGTTTGGCTCATGAGGCTGCTAGCTCTTCTTGAAGCTGGACTCAAAAGGTAGAAATGTTATTGGATGCGAGCTTGTCTGAATGATCATCTCTCACACACACACACACACACAGGAATAAGTGGGGACCACAACTATGTGTAGTGTGATTTCATTTAGCTATGCTAGACAAGGAACAAGGTCAACTTCAACTGGATGTTGGTGATTTGCTCAAAGGCAACTCAGCAGCAAGGACACGGAGGAGTAATTGGTTTTGCCCAGACTTAGGGCATCAGGTCAGGTCCAAATGTTCAGGCCGACCGGCAGTGTGAACCGTACACAAAGTGAAAAATGGTACACTTTCTGACGGAAATCAAGAGTCCGCAACACTGGAGCCTGGAGCGTGCCGCCGGAATAATTGCAGAATATTACAGTTTAATTATGATCACTGAAAAAACTGATACAATTTAAAAAGGCTATTATAAATCTATTAATTACATTTGCATTTTAATTCAACATTAAACGATACAAAGTAAAAACAGATCATTTAATTCGCCAGTTAACAATTCCATTTCCTTATTCTTTCAATGATGAATAAAAGGAATCACAAAATAAATCTTAAATATAGCTTTTAAATTGTATTTCTGGTTTACTATTATGTCCCTTAATTCATTTACATTATCTTTAAGTATAATTTTAGTAACTAGATTTCCAAGGAAGATGGAAGTCTTGATGGTAATTATGGGTAAAGATATGACTATTATACGAAGCTCATTTCACTTTAAAAGCTGGAATGTATATTGCCACCACAAAGTAGGCATGTAGTATCATCAAACCATGAAGCCCAGAAGGAGGAAGCTTTTAAAGCTAATTTGCTTATAGAGCATGAGATCACTGGGTTTTAACATTTTGGTCCAACGTTAGTGCAGAGGCACAGGAAGTCTTTCACTGTTTCCATCAAAGGCTCTGTGTAAAGCTCGGTTATTACTGCGCTCCCTATTCATTATCTTTGAGTAGCCTCTTATGCTAATGCACAGGCCTGCACATGAAGCAGGATTGTGAGATTTTGTAATTATCGTTTTGTGATCAGTCACCGCTTCAGCTGGAATCGTAGTAGAAACCTGGTTATGATCTCCGTCAGCAGGATCATGCGATCGCGTGTGTGTGCGTAAGTCAGCGTGAGCACCCTGCAATACTTGCAACGATGACTAAACGACTCCCTTATGCCGAAACTTTAAAAAAAACACACACACACACACACACACGTTTGGATTTGCTGGATCGACACTATTCTGTTCCTCTGAAACAAACGCACACGCACGGGTCCCTCAGGGCCAAGCTTGATTTGATTCATTAGTGTTTGACCAATCAGGTTTAGGGATGGATTTGTCACTGGGAAGGTCAGAAGGATAGAGATCATCAAATCACACACACACAGGCCTGACTTTTTAACCTTTGAACTTTTCCTGAGAGGCAGGTCTGAAAGCAAAACTCTCTTCTCTCGCACGCACACACACACACACACACACACACACACAGCAGTGTTGAATCAGAGATATTTATTCTCTCCAACCCAGACTTGGATATTTCTAATGAGGGCGAGAGAGAGAGAGAGAGAAGAGCAGCAATGCAGTAATGCTGTGTCGACACAGCGAAGGTCTGCAAGTCATTTCCGATAGAAGCCAGTGACATGAAGCTACAAGATGGCGGCTGACACTTGACTTGCTATGAATCTCTCAACTTGTTTTAAGCGTTTCAATGATGTTGCTGAACGTGACTGGCCTTCACCGAGCCCCGAACCCCATCCAACACCTCTGGGGTGAACTGGAACCCTGACTGTGAGCCAGACCTGATCATCTATCATCAGTGTTGGACCACCCTGATGCTCCTGAGGCTGAATGGAAGCAAATCCCTGCAGCAAGGCTCCAACATCTGGTGGGAAACCTGAAACCAGAGGAGTGGAGGCTGTTATAACAGCAGATTAATACCCAATGTTTTGGAAGGACTCATATGTGGTCACATATTTGTTCTATTTGTTTTATTTTATTTTATCGAACCAGGATAATGTCTTTTGAAGAGCGTCCTGGCCAAGATGGAAAGTGAAAGTGGAGACCAGAATCAATCATATGGCTAAAATGGCTGTCCACATACTGTTTGAGAGTAGCAAGAGAGAGAGAGAGCTGAAGGTGCCCCCCCACACACACAAAATACGTATTTTGTAACTACAGGGATCACTTCAGTGTCTTGGTATTTTGGGGCTTTTTTTGGATGCTTTTCAAACTGCATATTTGATTTTGTTTTGTTTTAGAGCGTATGCTTTGGTTGTCGCTCTTTCTTTGCTCCTTCAGCAGTGGGGAGATGTACTGTGATGTTTATGTAACTGCTTTTTATTTCAGTTCAATTTCATCTGAGTATCAGAGTAGCTCAGTGAGACGGGAAAGAGATTCTGTTAGGAACTGTGATTCTCTAGTGACATAATGAAACTGTTGCTCTTAAAGCTGCTTTTAATACTAGTGTAGTTTTTTTTTGTTTTGCTTAAAAGCAAATTTTCCAGTGTTGTGATCAGTTTCAATTAACTGAAAGCTCCTGTGGAGTTTCTGACATCTTGTGGCGCCATGGAGCTGTTTTCTTTTTCACGAGTTGTTTAGCTTGTCCTGTACACGCGCACGTGTACGCATCCTGGTTGGGCTTAAAATAAGTACGTTAACTTAGTAAAACATAAACAAGGAAATACGAAAATTCCGTCACAAACATCACATCAAAATAACTCAGTAACACTTTGGGACGTGAACACCAGTCTCCTGCTTCAAAGTCCTGTGTTCTTGTCTTTTTTGTCCATCTATGAGGCTGAAGACTCCAATTCCGATGGGCTGATAACATTTGAAGCGAGGCCTCTTCAAAAAATCTCAAATCAGTCAATCTTTGATGGAAAAGTCACTGTGGGATCACAAGTAGATATTGCATCACTTGAAGGGGTCACAAGACAAAAGGTTCGGAACCAATGATGTGGGCTCATGTCAATTAACATGGATTCACCCAGTGGATTTTAATAATTCTCAAATATTTGACTAGAGGGTATACAAGCCATTTACTAAGAAATGTAAGTATAACAACTGAACCCTTTTAGAGGCTCAAATGTTCTTTAACTGCCTTGTTTTTATTTTTCTATTTTGTCCTCTTTCAAAGCCCTCCACATCTTTTAAAACCGACGCCTGTCCCCTGATCCCTACTCCTCTCTCATCACTCTTGCTCCTGTCCAATCCTTCATCACCTCTTGTCTCGTTCCTTAGTTTCACCTTTCCTTTCCTCCTCTCCTCTCCCCCATCTTACCCTCTCCCTCTGTCTCCTCGGCTTGTGTTCATGAGGCAGGTGGATGGATTTGAATTGGCACACAGCGAGGATGGAGATGAAAACTTCATTTGTTTTTCAAATCCTGCGCTGTGATCGATTGAGCTCGTCTCATGCGATGAAGCAGCAGAGTTTTTTGATCAGAGCAAACTTGTCGGTTGTTGTTTTTCCTTCCCCTCTTGCTTTAACGGAAAGAGATATTTGGATTTAACTGGTGCTTTCCTTTCAATTGAAGGGCTTATTTATACCGAGTTTAGTGATCAGAGTCGCACCGGTTGTGTGTAATAAAGACATTGTGAATAGTCCCTATTTAAGGGGAATACTGTTTCAATGAGGTTGGAGTAAAAGTAAAGATTCTACCTCACTTATTAGACTTACCTGCTTTAAACGTCATAGAATTAATTGTCTGCTCTTCATTCATGAATGTTTAAAACATGTTCCAGGGTTGTACCAGCAATTATATTTGTATGTGTAGAAAAAAATCTGCTGCTTGATTGAGTTCTTGAGTACAGCTCAGACGTGTGTTGTGGTGCCTTCATGTGCCAATATTGAAAGCTAAAGATTTGCAGGATTCTGTTGCAGTAGATTGGGAAGAGAGTTTAACAGAACACAACCTCTTGAGTGAACTTTACGTGGTCATAAAATTGTCAAGGAGGCCACACACCCACACTGCAACTTCTTATTTCTTATCATATTCTTGCAAAAGCATGGCGTGTATGTATGCACCAAGGTCTCTCCGTCTGTGTGAAACATGAATGAACAATGAGTTTGCTCTGTAAAGAAAGTCATCTACTGTCATTGTTGTGTTGACAGTAATTTGCTGACTCGTGCTTTCCCAGCTGGTTTGGTGATTTGTGTTCAGTTCTGAGTCTCAAATGTCTCAGTGTTTGCAGCTGTGCTAACCCCAAGTATCTGTTCTCTTGTATTCTCTTCAGATCCCCACCTCTCCGAATCTCTCCCTCCCGATCCATCCATTCGTCAGTCGCCTCTTTCGCCTCTTTCGCCTCTTTCGCCCGTCTCTCCAGCATGTCGCTGAAGGTCCAGACCAGTAATGTGACCAACAAGACAGATCCAAAGTCGATCAACTCCCGGGTGTTCATCGGCAATCTCAACACAGCGGTGGTGAAGAAGTCGGACGTGGAGAGCATCTTCTCCAAGTATGGCCGGGTCTTGGGATGCTCCGTGCACAAAGGCTACGCCTTCATCCAGTACGCCAGCGAGAGGCACGCCAGGGGGGCCGTGATCGGGGAGAACGGCAGGGTGCTGGCCGGACAGACGCTGGGTGAGTCCACGTGACACTCTGTGAATTATCAGACTGTTCTCATCCACTGTTAAAGCTATGAAAAGCCAGGAAGCACAGGCCTATCGCCAAGGAAGTCAACAAAGTTGACACAATGAGCAGGCGGGGTTTGATGGACGAGTCAAACAAACACAGGACTTTCACCCAGGAGGCCATTGATCAGGTCCTGTGTGAGACCAAGTTGACATTGATTTATTTTACCTTTATTTTGTTATGTAACTAATGTAACTCCACCTGCATAAGGTAAAACATGCACTTTTACATAACAAACATACTTATATTAACCCAAACCACAATCCTTTATTTAACTTAACCAAGTAGTTTTGTTGTTCTGCACTTCAGTGGCTTGCACAGACTCAACAATCGCTTGCTTTGCTATACTTTCGCAGGAGAATGCACCATATAAGAAATAACTTTTGTTCAATTTCATACGAACTGTTGTACGAGGAAACATTGTAATTACAGCTCTACGTACAAAGCATGAAAAGAAAAGTGTGATTGCCAAAATAGGTGGGCTTTTTTCAAGTTTGACTGATTTAACCTCAAATTATTTAAGATGAGGTTATTCTACCTGCAGATGGAAATAATAAAGTTTCATTTTCAACATGGAAATTGGAGTGCACATTATGACATTCAAATGGTTTAAGTCGTGGTTTGCTCCATTTTTCAAAACTATGTATGTCCTGTTTCGGAAAAACAAATCTGTAGACAACAGAAAAATCGTATTTAATTAAAAAGAAGTATATTTCCTGGGCTCCAAAGGTTTTAAAAATGTCAAAACTCACTAACTCAGAAAATGTCTTCTTACGAAGATGACAATTTCTAAATGACTGTGTGACTGGTGGTGAAATGGTGAAATAGCCTTTGCACTAGTTTCAATTAATTGATTCATCAGTTATCTAATTAATTAGTTAATTACTAAATCAAGTAAGTCTATAGAATGTCAGAAGATAGTGGAAAATATCCTGACCTCTTTGAATCGCATGTTTTATTTGACTGTAGTCCAAACCCAAAGACATTTGAGCGAATGTTCGTCATTTTGGTTTTATAAAAGACTTAAACAATTAATCAAAATTGCCGTTAAAATATTCCATGGTGAATTGCTAATCAATTGACTTCTAATTTCAACATTACCCTTGGTTGCTGTGTTTGAGTTACACTGTTCACACTTGCTTGTTTGAACACTGCAGGCTACAGAAATCCCAGAGATATAGCTGAACCTTTCTCTTCACACTTGAAGTTGTCAGGACTGTCCCCTCGGGGTTTAGCAGGTTGAGATGTCATCTTTTGAAAGCCTGAGAACAAAAGCCTCAGAATGTCTCTGGTGTTTCATCAGAAAACATTTTCAACTTTGATGCTAAATAAGTAGGCGCAGTTGATGAGACCTGAGATCAGCACATGAAAGGATGCAGAACATTTCTGTTTTTATTTTTGGTTCATGCATGATCTGTTTAATCTGTTTAACTTGCACGGCAGCTGGATTCCTTGAAAAAGGCTGCACTCAGTAGAGTGCAGATCTCCTCCAGGTGTTACTGCAATGACAACTGCTTTATTGTGTGATTAAAGGGATACAACCCAAAATGTGATAAGCCACCGCTCCCCCCCCCCAGATACTAATAGGCTGTAAGGAGTCATAAAATACACATCTGTCAAACTCAAAAACAAGGATTGAAGGATCATTTATTGTCATCATGCAACACAGGGATGCACAACAAAGTTCAGTTGTTGCTCATTTGCAACACAACAAACAAAAACAGTAGTACGTTCCTGTAGTGCATTTTTTTGAATTTGCATCCGACATCTTTACACCAAAAACTCAACGGGAGGAAAACCACTGTCCCATCAACCTCGACTGTGCCTGAGCACCGAGCACCAAGCACCACGACGCAAACACAGAGTCCACCTCCTCTCGACCCACCGGAGTCCCGCGCTCTGTCCTGCGGTCCGCCTGTCAAGTTCAGCTTGATCCGGGATGAACGACGGAGCCTGTATGCAGTTTGCAGCACAGAATGCAAGATTAGCCGTGGACAGACAGGGAGGTGCACACACGCGTAAACCATGGCATGCCTCTCCTGGCGGACATTTCAATCTTGTCAGGCTTCAAGTAAATTTGTGTCTGAACCACAGCGGTGTGGAGCGATCAGCCTCCTGTGAGTCTTCAGAGCATACAGTCTTGCAATAACCAGAATGAAGTTCAGTGAACTTGCTGCGACCGCAGAAACTTTGACGACCCCTGAGCGCCATTACATCCGTTTCCCTCTCGAGTGTTTACTTATGCGATCTCTCCCCCACCTTTCCTCTGTGTTACTGCGCAATAAGATATCAGAGGGGAAATCAGAGTTGAGCGCCGTGTGCCTTTACTCTGTTGGAGTGTTTTCCGCCGTCTGTCTGTTTCCCCCAGCGGACAGGGAAGAGACGAGTTGTCGGCGAGCAGGTGTGAAGACCTCAACTGCTTTATGTTCAATCACAGCAGAGCTGCGAGTACGTTTCTCTCATAATCTCTCTCAGTGCAGTGTGTGTGCTCTAACACACGTGCATGTGGGGGTCTAAGTGTATTGAATGAATCAGAATGTGCCAAAATAACGCGTTCTCACTACCGGTGCATCAAATACCGCAGCTTGCTCAGTGAGATATGTGTCACTCGCTAAACAGACTCGTCTGAAATGGAAAAAGAAAAATCAACGGGGATGTCAAACATTCAAAATTTTATTCTTTAACTTACTTATTGTCATCTTTAGTGGTTATTTACATAAAAATACACAATTCAAATGATACGGCAATAAATGATTGCATTTCTATTTCAATATGTGTTTTAATTAAACTTTTTCTGAGGGGCCTTAGTAGTTAAAATGATGCTGCTTAGAGCTAGTGTTAAGTGTTAAGTGTTAGGAAGTTAAACAGGTCATCATTTTCTCTCTAATATCTATTTTATGTGAAAACACCTTCAAATAAATGTATTCGTTCCAGTTTCTTGCCAGAAACTACATTTTACAAGATTACATTTGAACACATCATGCATGATAACGTTGTAATTTACCTTCATCCCATATACTCATGTTTACTGTGTGGAGCTTGAAAGCACCATAATGTAACTGAATGTTTCTTAGCTGTTAGCTCTGTTATCAGCAGGACTGTGATAGGGAGAGACCCGGAGCTGTCGGCAGAAGAGCCAGTTACTGTTATTACTCTGAGCAGCGTGCATGGGAATGAATTACAATATCATAGGCCTAGTTGCTCCAAATGTTGCTATGCTGTCAGACTGTGCTGCCAACTGGCTGCTAACAGCTGACACCCAACATTAACTAGCTTTTCTCCTGCTGATTTAGGCAAGGAGTGAGCGTTAGACATTCTTTCACGCAATACCCCTAATTACAGCATTTAACTGCTTCTACAAACTTAAATTAGTAGAAAATGCTTCTAGTGACAGTTGTGGATTTTGTGCAATAAAGGGAATAAATACAGCAATGATTTCTGTATATGGTTGATGTTTATCATTGTGCTGAATGTTCTACTAGTAAAGACCACCAATAGCATTGGTTTTCATACGCTGGTCACGTGACTTGATAGTCACTCAAGTTAATGTCAACACGATCTTTTTCTGAACCTACTTCAGTGTTTTTTGCCTAAACTTAATGTTAAGACGGAAGTGTACTTTGAAAAGACACAATGGGTGTTACAAGTGGAATTTGACACACCGTCCCAGACACGTCCAAAACAGACGCTAGAGGAGTACGTAGAGCCTCATAGTTTGAAGCTAAGGCGCGCTGAAGCTAAGTTTGCAGTTTGAAGCTAAGGAGCACTGTTCAAGCTGGAGTATTCGGCACATTGGTGTGACAATGTGTTGGCCTCAACTCCATTTTATACACTAGTTGTAAATTCACCCATTGATTTCTAATGAAATTCTCAATTTTCACCGGGAACGCCACAGTTGTAGAAAAGTTACATAAAACACCCAGAATTCGAACAGAAATGATAAAAATGTATTTTGTTTGTTCAGATGCTCTTTGTGGACGAAGCCACTGAAGTAAAGGAAGGAAAAAAAACAGGTTTAGGATCATTTATAAAACTCTTTGTGTCTCTGTTAAACAATTCCTTGGATGTTTTCCAGGCAGGGGTTTTCGTCCACACCCCAGCACCGTGACTTCTCTAACACGGAGAGCGGAAACGCTTCAGTACATTTTTAATGCTGCTTTCAACACGGTCAACCACAATATAATACTAGACAGACTTGAATGCGCAGTTGGACTTTCTGGCAAAGTGCAAAACTGGTTTGAACCATTTTTGAAGGACAGGGACCACACTGAGTTGATCGGTAATATAATATCCGTTTGTGAAACAAGTAACACGTGGAATGTCCCAAGGGTCGGTTCTCTGGCCTCTTCTCTTCAGCTGATTGCTGCCCTGTGGGTTGTTTTTGTTCAACACACTATTAGGGTTCAATTGTGTTGCTTCCACCCAGCACATGTGGGTGGGAAGTTCAAACCGCTCTGTGCCCACACAATGAAACAACCATCCATACGCACCCATTCTTTAACCCCATCATCCTGTTAGGATCTCTGGGGGCTGAAGCCTATCCCAGCATGCATTGGGTGAGAGGAGGGGAACACCATGACAGCTCAACAGTCCATCATAGGGAAATCTAGTGTTTCCAGTTCACCTAAACTGCATGCGTTTGCATTTTGGGAGGAAACTGGAGCACCTGCAAGGAACCCATGCAGACATGGGGAGAATACAATCTTTAAAATGTCTGTACCTCCTGAAATTCCTTAAAACATAAAGCAGGATGATGGAACTTCATGTGTTTGAAATGTGTCGGAAGATCAAGGGAAGGAACGAGTGGAGATGATAAAAGGATGGATGGACGGCCAGATGAGCAGGGAAAAAGTGAGTTTTCAGCAGCCAGAGGCTGAAGATTCAAGCCTGTTAACCTCACCGTGAAGGGGAATGTGTTTGTGTGTGTGTGTGTGTGTGTGTGTGTGTGTGTGTGTATGCGTTTAAGGCAGTGATCCAGAACCCTGACCGCAGCCAGGTGTGGAAATGGCAGAAATCCAGTTGTTTGCAAGGACACACACACACACGTACACACAAACGCATCTTCATCCAACACAAACTGTTATTGACCTCCCCTTTATGACCTAGGCAAACAATGCAAGCGCACACATAGACACACACACACACACACACACAGACCACCTGCCAATCCATATGCCTCAGTGCTTTTTATTCCGTCTCTTGCCGGGTCTTGTTCTTCAAAGTGGAAGTCCCTGAACGCAACACAAACATACTTTATCGACCCAATGCCTCTCTGAGCAAAAAGTAATTTCAGTATTTCCAAAAACAAATCACGTTCTTTTGCTGATGAAAACAATTAGGTTTAGTAAAAGATTGTGGTTTGGGTTAAAATAAGTATGATTGCTGTGTAACATCATTAGCGTAGCCGACGTTACGTACATGACGTAAGTCAAGTCCTTTGTAACTTGTATACTCTGAGCGTCTGGGCTTCCGTTGTAGTTACTTGAAAGCCAGATGCGTCTCATACAAGCGCTAGATGATGCCTTGTGCGTCAGATGCAAAGGGCAGTGACAAGACATCGGCATTTGAAGTTGATCGATAATTGGTGGCTGTGATGCAGCTACAATCATACAAAGGACTTTAAAATATTCAAAACATTTGTAAATGTTTCACATGAAAGTAAATGCAGTTAATGTAAAGATAACTCCATGCCTACAGACTGATTTAGAGATGTTTTTGATGACATGTCCTGACTTGAGACCCTACTCAAAATTGGTCTTATTTTACCAATCTGAGTCAGCCGATGTCTTCGGACAGGAAGCTACTCGCTTTTCCAAAGATCCAATTCATCCATCGTTTTGTTCTTCTGTACGTCTTGGATTGTTATGACGGTCCCGGGGATAACACATTTACTGTGTTGCACTTCAGTATTTACCTTTTTATCACCTCTTTTATGTGAAGCACTTTGTTGGAAATTCTGGTTTTGTGAAGTGCCAAACAATCATCATTATCATATTACTTTTATTGTTTGTCATGTTTTGCTTGCCAACCAAAAACACAAAGGTAGTGATTAAAACGGTTAAACGTGTCTCATAATATCAACTGGAAGTCATTCCAGTAAAAAGAAACACACATGGGTTTGATATTACCCGGAGAGCTAAGACGAGAGGGAGTATGGCAGTGAGACATGTAAAGAGTCGGGTAGTTAAGTGGCACAGAGAAAAAAGACAGATTTAATATGATCCCCAAAGCAAAACCCACACAAACTGCAGTGGGGCAGAGAGCATCACTTAGCAGCCCCTTAGCTGTCATAGCTTTATCCTACACTACACTCACACACACACACACACACACACACACACACACACACACACACACACTGTGCCTTATGGGAAAGTCCCCTGTATTACTCTGTGTGTGTCTGTGTGTATGTGTGTGCATGTATTCCTCATGTTGTGGGGACACTGCTCACACAGTAACATTGTGGGGACTTGCAGTGCACATGAATCATTATATTTTAGGGTGAACACTTATTTGAAGGTTAGGTGAAGGCTCAGGTAAAGGTGAGCTTTAGTTGTATGTTGAGGTCAGGGTCAGGGTTAGTTTTAGGCCAGAAGCGTTTATGACTGGAGTTGTTAAGTGGGATGGAAACACGATTGATTGAAATCCTAATTGAACACAGATTTGTGCCACATAGAAAACGTGTGTGTGTGTGTGTGTGTGCACTTCTCTGTACATCCATCTTTGTGAGGACACTTATTAACATAAAGCATGTCCCAGCACCTTATCCTAACCTTAACCATCACAACTAAGTTTTTTTTCAAGTCTCTTATTTAACCTGCAGCATCATGATCAATGAATTCATCCACATTTGTTTTGTTACCACCACATCTGTGTCAGTAATGCAGGCCATTAACAGTTCATGTGGAATCTCTTATTTACTTGATTGCTGGATTTTTTAAATGTTTTTTTGACCACAATTAACAGATTAAAGTCTCAAACAGAAGAGCTGGAAATCAGATTTCTTACTTTCCGCCTGATTACTTATGAATGGAAAGTTGTCGGGCCAATATGGGCCTGTTGGGAGCTGCACTGACTGACTGTAGAGACGATGTTGTAAAATGGCTCAACAGCGTCCTCTACTGGAGATCACAAGGCGACACACCATCCACCAGATTATCCTTTAAAAAGTTGTCCTCTCTCCACTGATTCTTTACCACTGCTTTCTTTTTTTCAGTGCTCAAACATATATTTCACTAAATGTTTTTGAGCTTGAAGGAACATTTGATCTCTTTTATGGAGTTGTTAACAACGTGTTGGGTACGTCAAAAATGAAACGCTGCTCTTCTGTTTCCCTCTGCTATTTATTTTCCAGATGTCAACATGGCAGGAGAGCCGAGGCCCAACAGACCCAAAATCCTGAAGCGATCAGCCGCTTCTCTCTACAGGTACACACAGGTGCCCTTTCATTTGGAGGATTGTTTGATAGTTCAGTGTTCTAAAAAAGCTCAGGTGCTTTTTCAAAGCTTGTATTAGAAGGCCAACAAGAGACTATTTTACCCACAGATGTGTAGACCACAAAAAACAAACGCAGCTGATCTTGTGGGACTGAGACACAAACCACTTTAGTTGAAGAGGGCCAAGGTTTTAAAACCGCCTACACTGGATAACAACACCCTGAAGAAGGAGGAGGCCGAGACCTGGAGGTGTGAAACAACACCCTGAAGAAGTCCCAGGCTTCTATTTTTAACACCTCACCCCTCCAAGAACAACGACTGTCATGAGTATTTAGACTTGAAGGGTTTTATTGTGGAGGGACAGTATGTCAGATTTTTGCAGATTCCTTTTTACGTAGACTCTTTTATCCTTTTATTTGGTTATTGTTTCCCATGTATTAAAGAGGTGTGATGTGTCGCGCTGCTTAAAACAGCTGCTAAACCTGAACAAAAATGATTCAATCTTAGACTTACAGTTTGTCTCCTTTGATGGTTTGCGTACTCTTTCAGAAGATTTGACAAAGGTTATATTATTGTTCCATTCCTGAGGTATAACGGTCACATGAATGGGACAAGGTGTTCCTTAAATATTGCGTTCTTGAGAATGGGTACAGAGACATTAAATGATAAATACTGTTCATCATATAAGTGATAAATACAGTTTCAACAAAACGCAGTATTTATGTCTTATTTCTTATAAGGTGTATCTTATGTATTGTTGTTTTATAGTTTTATTCTTGTTTTGAGGAACCTCTGACTTTGTTGTTTCCGCCAAAATCCTTTATCCAGGACGAATCTGTCCATAAACATTACACGTAATATACATAATTCACGAGAATTCAATTTCTGTCTCTCTTTCTGTCTCTTGGGGTAACATGAAGTGGTTTCTTTTTGGTCTCACACACAGTTTGTAATTACTGCCTTTTTAATTCGTACGTGCAACCATAAACCCCAGAATGCTTTCTGTTCCCATGTGTTGTTTTAAATGTGGTTTCATGCTGGTGTTACTGAGCGTACTGTGTGACATTTGTTTTTGCACTATCACTGTGTGCTATTGTGCTTCTTCCCCAGCGGCTATGAGTTTGACTACGACTTCTACAGAGAAGACTTCTATGACAGGTAAGAGAACGGATGGTTCTCGGGGTTCTTCCAGCATTCTTCTGCGTTTTAGTGCCAGCAGCCAATATCCACACATGATTGATCTGATGCGAGCAAATCTTAGAATTCAGGTTAGAGAAAGGAATAAAGGTTAGGAAACAGCGACGCAAACTGACCACACACAACAAGTAAATCCAGAATCTGATGAACTGTGGAAGATGAGCCTTGTGTGTCATTCAGAGCATCAGTATATCTTTACTCTGCTGTGCAGCCGGTCACCTGCAGATCTTCATCCAACAGCTCACTGTTGCTGCTCATGACTGTTCCTGTACTCACAGCAATATTTTAAACTAATCCGCTGTCAAAAAATGCAGGAAATGACCGTTGTCTTGTTCTACCACTTAAATGCTTTAAATGTGAAGCTGCAGCAGCACAAAATGTTCGTTTTGCATAAGCAGTGGGTTAACACAGTATTTATTTCTGGGAATGTCGTTTTCAGATACCCAGTTCGTAATACTGCAAATATCTAAATATTGCAATACTTTTGTCACTGAGCCATAGGCTCAATCACTATTGTGTTGACTCACTTAGCAATGGATAGTGACGTAAAAGACATTGATTTAAATGAAAATCTTTTTATTAAAATTAAATTATTACTTTAAAACACAATCCACCCATCAGCCCAACCCCCACACTCATTATTTTTCCTGCTCTATAAAACAATTCATCTTATTAAAGAAAGAACAGAAGGCGGATGAAGAACAAGGAAATAGATGAATGGTTCTTTTGGGAAACACTGTGGAGTCGCATGGAATGGGGCACCAGCTACATTTTTGCAGGTGTGTGTGTGTGTGTGTGTGTGTGTGTGTGTGTGTGTGTGTGTGTGTGTGTGTGTGTGTGTGCCCCGTTTGAGGGCTCTGTCACTTGAACATAAACATATGTTGTTTTGGGGGCTTTTGCTGAAACAGCTGATGCTGTCATTCTTCTTGGAAGGGATAGTTTGAATTTGGCCTTTGACTAAAAATGTGTCTCATCCACAATTAAGTGGAAAATAGAAGTGTTCTTGAAGTGATCTGGAACACTCAAATTCAGTGCAAACATGCACATTGTAGCTGAAGAGTGCAGTGTGCTCTTTTTCTTTGTGCCTGATGCTGTTATTCATGTGTCAAATGTAAATGTTGCCTTTGCACCGAGAACCTAGTATGCAGAACAATGGCAGAGAGAAAAAATTACACCTACAGACCACAAGCTACAGGTCTTGACTGCCAAGGTGCAGAGGCATTCCTCAATACTTCAGGCAAGGAATTTACACATGACAGAGAGAAACCCTATATGGCATTTAATATCCCAGTAAATTACCACCAACTCTCTGAAGACACTCTCAATTTCACTGTAACTGTGTGTGGCTATTTGCACTGAACTTTGCAAAATTGGACTGTTTTTGAGGCTTATTTGCATGAATATGGGGCCAATTTTACGCCAAATGTCTGCACATTACCTAACTTTAATACGTGCAAACCAGAGCACAGGAGCACAGAGACTTTGTTTGCTCAGCAGTGCAGTCAGGGGTGCATTTCAGCCTCTTTTTGTCTTTTGTCTTGTTTGTGCAGGCTTAGCGGCTGCAGAAACCGAGCTATCCTTTTGTGAATTCGCCCCTCAATTCACATAATTCAATTATCAAACAAAATAAATAACTGATTTCAATGGCATCCAAGAACAGTAAGACCGTTCCAAAATACAGTTGAACCGGACGGACACGAACGGAGACGGAACACCAACTCCGGCAGCAGGAGGACGATTCTCCACGGATTACATGACCAGGACATGAGCAAGGGATTATCTGCTTCACGGGGGATGTGTTTTTTCTCCCTGTACCTGCCACTCTGAGTAACATCTGGCCAAATTCAATCCATTTACATTGACCTCTGCTGCTATGTCACAGTGTGGGAACTATTAATGTTCCGAAATATATGCCAAGCAAACACTGTTATGAGGGTAAAAATAAATAGAAAACTGCATCTGTCTGCTCGTTACTTCAAGTGAAACAAATCCCCGGACCCCGTCATGTGCCGCATGTCTCCACTGCTTCTCATGAGAGTTCAGGACTTTGAAACTGAATCTTCACTTTTGTAACACGCCAAAAATACATGTGTGCCAAAAGGAGCACATAAAAGTGTGTATACTGAGCAGGACGGAAAGTAGAGATGTCCAGCTGAGATGAATCAGCGACCATTCATCCAGATGATCCCAAAACGTCAAAACCAACACATGCTTCCGATCTCAAGATGGGATTTAAAAACAGAGTTATTCAGTGTCATTGTATGCAGAGGTTTCTGAAACTGATGAGGTACAGAGGTTTTGTTGAAGTACAGAGGTTTTGAAAAAGACAGTCATGCTTCTGAGAGAAAAGCAACTCTCCCAAAAACTTTTTTGACTCCTGTCAAAACACGTCAAGCTTTGTCCGTCTGACATGAAGCTGCCTAATACAGCGAAGAAGGGTAATCAATGATTCTTCATCTCCCTGGATGAGGGAGAGCTGTGGTCTGTTAATTCTCTGAATTACACATCACCAATAACCACATTGCCTGTGCTCACACACAGCAAAAGGTTCAGCCGGAGAGTTTAACTCTCATGGGATTTGTTGAGCACACACAACCCATGGCCAGACCCATCTCCACAGTGCTGTGTCAGCGCTAAGGAAAGGTCTGGCTCGAAACTTTATCATTCTGCTGTTGGGTGAAAAAACAAACACTCTGGCTTCCTTTAAACTAATCACGATCGTCTTTGGCAATGTAAGCCCAGGATGCACCGACGGTGTGCTTGCAAAATAGAAAGCGTAGATAGCGGAAGAGGAGGAGAATTCTAGCTATGATAGGCGGGCAATGGCACGATTCAACCTGCAGTCTACAACCGATGAGTGACACTATTATCCTCCGCATCTTTCATGAGACTTCCCAGTCCCGGGATGCTTCCTGTAACCACTATGATACCTAGTGATGTAATTTGGCACATCCCTGTCAGGATTAGCAACAGGCAGTCACAGAAAGATTTAACAAAATGTAACAAAATCTCAGAGGAGTATTCACGGATTGGATGTCTGTCCCAGTAAGTGCCTGCCCGGCTCCAACCAGAACAGCCTCAGTAAATGCTTTATTACTAGCAAATAAGACATTTATTCTAAATGATTTCTTCAATTCTCGGGGATTGGATTTTTTTGTGTGTGACTAAAACCTGGCTGAGTGTCAGGTGAGGTTAGCTCTTTTTCAGAAGTCATACCACTGGATTGTACAATTTTTAATCCCCCAAGGATTACTGGACGAGGAGGGGTGGTGACTGTTAAAAGCTTTAAGTCGCTGGACTTATTCTGTAGTGTTGAACTGAATATGTTCACGCTTAATTCACCCAGTACACTGCGTTGTGATATACCAACCACCTAAATATAGCAGGGATTTAAATGGATGAATTAAGGGTCAGAGAGTCAAACATTTATTTTTACTGTTCTAATAAGGCGTTGGTCAAAGACTCTCTTAAGTTCTGTCTTTAGACATGTTTGACACTTGGTGCAGGTATCAGAAAACTGTCAATGCTGAGAAGACAAAATATTTAACAATTAGTTTAAATAATTGTTCCAAAACTCTTGTAAAAATACTTAATCCTCAACGAGATTGCGATTATTAGTTCACACATCTCGCCCCCTTTCTCTCGATCCGTCCACCACTGTCCATTGCTCTGTAGTTTCATGGACAACCAGCGGAATGATCTTAACTATTCAAGTCATGTGACCTCAATCTAACTAATTATGTGTTTCACTGCTGAAGACCCGATCAAAAGAAAAAGTACCCTGAAACCAGCAGAGGTGAAGACAGCTGTTAACCAGGCCTGACCGAGCATCAGCAGAGATATATGGCCAAAAGCACCTCAACCCAACCATACCATCCAAAACTATGGCCGTTAATCTTCTGGTATAACAACCTTCGGTCTTCCAGGAAGGCTTTAGACAAGATTTCTTTTTACCCTGGCTGCAGAACTGTGCTCCCATTCAGCCGTCAGATCATTAGTTGAACAGTGCAGATGATGCCACTTAGGTGAGGGGAAGTAAACTACTATAAGTACGAAGATAAAACAACTTTAATGCAGGACAGACACACTTTGTACACAGCAATGTTGGCTTTCTAACAGTCTGGCTCCCAGTCGCCGTTCCAGTTCATCACAACAGTGTTGGATGAAGTTTAGGACAGGTGCTCCAGTCAACTTCTTCCAAGCCAAAATTCCTCAGAGGCCTTACCCGAAATGTTGCCACAAAGTTCGAAGCACATCATTGTCTACAATATAATTTCATGCCGTCAATCAAGATTTTCTTTAATTTTTCACTAAAGAGCCATGACCAGTTCATGAAAAACAGACCCGGACCAAAAGCATACAGACGGGGGGTGGTTTAGTATTTGACAGCAAATAGTAAATTGACCAATTACATTCCGTCATTCATTTGATTGTATGCTCGATCTATCAATTTATCCCCCCCCCCCCCCCCTCCCCCCCCCCCCCCCCCCCCCCCCCCCCACACACACACACACACACACACACACACACAGTTCACATGAAAGGAGATATTAGCTTTAGAGATCAAAACTGTTTCTTGTACCTGACTGTAAACATGTTTATATCAGCTATAAAGTTGGGCATTTTCACATGGGAGTCTATAAGGATCGACTCTTTTGGAGCCAGCCTCAAGTGGCCTTTTGAGGAAATGGAATTTTTGGCAGTTCCGCGTTGGCTTGGTTTTTCAGCACCGGAAGTTACTTTTTGTGAGATATATAAACCCCTCAGCACATTCTGGTGCTACCTTGGGGTCCCGGCAATACCTCGACATCCTAATCACCACCTCAACTGGCTCTATTCAGTCTAAAGGAAAGGATTTGCTACTCAGCCCTCCTCCCAGATGTGTAAGCGCCTCATCCCATCGCTCAGGGTCAGCCCAGCAACCCTGCGAAAGACACAAAATAGAACAGGATTCCACCCGCTGATCTGCTGCCCACAAGCTGGCTTAATTAACCTCTTTACATCCATCCCACCAAATCAACCTCTTTCCCAGAATTTGAGAAATCATGCTGAGCTTTACTGGATAAACATCTGTCTTAACAGATGTTGAAACATGCTGAACAGCTGGGTTGCAGATCTCAGGACTGATTTACACCCATAACTGTGATCTGGCAGTCTCACTCCCTCCCATTTTTAGCCCATGAATGTAATGGTATGATATATATATATATATGGTATCTATACAAGAAGTTGCATTTTTCTTTCTTTCCCACTTATCCTTTCATTTCTGTAAACCCTTCTGTGTGTTTCTTTAAATATATTTCCTTTATTTTTTATTCTCAACATCAAAAGCAGCCTTAGCCAGTCCTGGAATTCTATCATTTTAGGGACAAGGCCACTTGGTTTTTGGTCATTTGTTCAAGAGTACAAAGGCCAAATGCCAGGGCAGCAAGGCCATCAAATAAAACAATGATCTCAAGTCCACAAAAGAAGGAATTTACATTATGATTTAAGGATGATTTTATTTTTAATACCATACTTTAATATAACTATCAGTGAAATAAATAGATAAATATATTTGTTTATTTTGATAGAACAATTTATTAACGTTTTAGAGGCGGAGCGTTTTGCCTGTCCAATTTTGTTGACTTGCAGATTTTGTAAGTTGGCTAGATAGTCAATTTGCTTATTTTTTGTCTGTTTTAATTGTGTTAATAGTTCTTTCCTACTTTGTTTTGCCGCTTGCCAACAGACAAAGTTAGTACACTTAAAAGTCCAAGTGTGAACGACGTGAATCAGAGATTTTTGGCTGTTGTTAAAAATACAAACAAAAGACACTGGGGGAAAAAATGTACTGACAGGAAAGAGGAGGAGGAAACAGTGAAATCAACTAGAGACGTGCTGATGGCTGCAGGGCAGCACAGGGGTGTAAGGCCAGACTGAGGGGTCACGGCAGACAAGAAACTTTGATTCAAAGTTTATTTATCTCCTGAAGTATGATCTGTATGGTCAAACTTGGAATTAAAAACCTTGTCTGCTCTGATTATTTGCTAAGTGCCGCAGAGCAGCTTTGTCCAAATGGTAAAATGAAATTGCCACGTACAGTACTTCTTTAGCTCTCTTTCCCCTGTATTCCTGTGGAGACCCATGTTAAGCTGGGGGAGTGAAGCACATAACCATCTGGAAAAAAAGTTTCTTCTTGTCCCAAATGGTTAAAACACAGCCTGCAATGGAACATATCTCATAGGGTTTGAAGTAGTCAAGCCAACGGGAGGTCAGTCTTGTCAAAATCGTTAAATAACCATATTCCACACACATCTCCCAGACCATCCTCAACTTTCATGACCGAAGTTGAATTCACATGTTATTACATATTTTACTGCTTTTTATTAACTATGACAAAACTTGTAATCTAACCAGGGTTCAGGAGTTCCCCGTGTGCCCACCAACCAAACTGAGGCCGGCACATTGAGTAAGACAGTGTTGTCTGATTTGGATTACATTGTCAAGACGGAAAGTTATTGTTTTAACGTCGACAGTTTATTGAGGTTCTTTGTACCCAATGCACTTCCAGCAAAATCATCAAACCAGTTTCTCCACTCCAAAGTTTCCCTCTTTGAACGTGCAGTATACAAGCAGCTGTGCAGATCGTTTTATTTAGCTTCAGTGGGAAATATCGTCAGCCAGAAGACTAGAAAAGTGCTTCACAAGTCCATTTACAACTTCCCAAACACCCTCTCCTCATCATCTGACCTCTCCTCTTTCAACTTTCCCCCTTGCTTTCCTCCTTTTTAACTCTCTCCTCCTTTCTTTCTTTTTTCTTTCCTTGTTGCCTCTCTTTGCCTCCCTCCTTTCCGTCTCCCTTGTTCTCGCTCTCTTCAGGTTGTTTGAGTACCACGGCAGGGTGTCTCCGGTCCCTCGGGTGGCGCCCGTCAAACGCCCGCGGGTAGCAGTGCCTCTGGTACGACGGGTCAAATCCTTGCCTGTCAAACTGCTGGCGCGTAACACCTCCGTCCTCCCCACCAGCAATGGCAACAAACAGAGATGTAAGTCTGCTACTCTCTTTACTAGTTCTGACATCGATAGTAGCCGTAGATAACGTGATTTCCCTCCTCATGTTGTGAAGCAGATGAAGATGATATGATACTAGAGAAGTCCAACTTCAACACATTCAAATTAAACAAATATTCTAAATGTTGGTCACCTGTACACACTGTATGTAAGGCTCAGTGTGGGCATGCAATAATAAATGCAATGATATTGGTAAAGGTTGTATCGGTTAGTTGTTAAACAATAGCATTAGCTAAAGTAGCAACAGTAGGCTAATTGTTTTGGTAAAACTAGAAATTGCAGTAAATGCAGTTGTTGTGTTAGCAGGTACAGTCACCAGCTAAATAGTCAAATTGTAGGATTCTGAATGTAAACATGAGTGTAATCATCGCGTCGGTATCCCGTGTTCTTAAACCACCACATGACATCAAACTCTCTCTTCCTCTCTGCCTGTATGTCCCTCTTCCTTTTCTCACTTGTTTAATTCTTCTTCTCTTATATTTTCTCGTCCACCTGACAAACTCCACCCTTGTGATCCAAACCTTCCCGTCAACCATCTTTAAAGTCTATGTTTTACAGCAGAGGGTTCAAGCATCACTGCGACTGTTGTCACATTATTTTAGGATTCTGCTCATCAAACGTTCATTTCACCTCATGTTCATAACGCGGATCTGAAAAGAAAATCTGACTCCCGTTATCCCCTTTTTTATTATTTCTTTCCAAACAGCAGTTTTTGATTCCTGCAGAGTTTCAACTTGTTGATTGAAAACTGAAGTAACGTCCATTGGCAGACTGTTAATGTTTGCCCCTGCATGACTCTGCAGTTACATAATGTATTTTGGAGAGATTCACACCAGAATTAGGATTGTTAATGAAAATCAAAACTGACAGAACCACCGTGGTAGTGTCAATCCAATAAGAACATGGGATGCAGACGAGAGTAAAGCAGTGTGAGCTTTTGGACTTGGGCTTTGACAGGCGCTGTATCAGCGTCTTGGTGGTAATTGCCCGTGGATTTTGGATGCAGAATCTATGTTCTCATCCTTTCTTATTATTCCCACATCACAATTTGTTGGTATTTAAAGTCATATGTAGTCACATTGTTTGTTGTTTTATGTAAACGCAACATTCAAAATGTGCACCTCCTCTCTGGTTCAACAAACCTTCAAGTGAGAGAGAGGGAGGGAGGGAGAGAGAGGGGGAAGGGGGGGAGGGAGGGAGAGAGAGGGAGGGGGAAGGGGGGGAGGGAGGGAGAGAGAGGGAGGGGGGGAGGGACGAGGCAGAAAAGAGAAGGGGGAGAGAGGAATCATAGGAGAGAGAAAAGTGGACAAGAGCAGCAAGACAGCAGAAGAAGCAATGATGGAGAAGAGGGGGAAGGGAAAGAAAGAAAGGAGGACAGAGATGTGAATGTGTATTGAGCAACAACCACACACACACACACAGTTGGGAAATATGGTAGTAATTTGAGTTCATTGTGGTGAAACAGAAACAACCACCAGATGTGTTTTATGGCTTCAGTTGTCCGCTATTGCCACTAATGTACTCATCACTTGGTCTGTCTTTCCTTAATCACCTTCTTCTCTCTCGGCTTTTTTCAGTGGTTTACCAGAGACATCTCAATATCTCTTTCTTTTCTTTTTAAATTGCCGGACAAACAATACGTCAAAAACATAATATGGATGCATTATACAGGTAAATCAGATGTCCAACATATGGATAATAAAGCAATTAGAAAATAGTAAATTAAAAACATTTTAAATCTATTATCCACACCCTGTTTAGTGTGTTTCCAGGGTATCACATGGATTGTGTCAGAAATGTTAGCTCTTCAAACCCTCCTCACGTAGACAAGCCAGTGTTTTGGCAAAGTCAGCATTGCCCCATAACTCTTCAGCGGTGAATCTTAAGGCTGGCTGATATACTGCGTCTAAAAGGTTTGAGACTGGAGCTGGTCGCTCCCCCATAAATATCATCTCCGTATCCAATACAGAGAGTAAAACTGCTTCAACAATCCTTTCCTCGTAAATAATGGAAAGAAAGATTTATTTTGAGAAAGAGAGACCAATTTCAGTCTCAGGTTCGTTAACAACATGCCAATACAGACTTTGTATATATTTATTTAATTATATAATGTTGCAAGGTGCTATGAGCAGAACAAATTTCACAACTTCCATAGTCTGTAAAATACAACAAATATATTTCTGTTTTGGACGTTTTTCTTAAGAATTATATAGTTGCAAACTATGTAAAAACAATTTACCAATAATTCTGATTTCTTTGCATTTGTATGGTCCCCCGGCATATCACATGTTGAAAATACAAATAAGTTACCATCATTTTGATCAAAAGAAAGTATAAATTCCAAAGGAATTCAACAGAGCTACGTTATAAAAAAGATGAATAAGTTGTCAAACAGTTACAGTACAGAACATCACTTGAACAACAGCAACTGGTACGTTGTTCCATCAGAGACGAGGCAAAGAACTCCAGCAGGAAGATGACCAAGATGAGCTAAGGCCAAGTCCAAATAAACATCCATCCATCCATCCATCCATTTTCCTCCGCTTATCCGGGGTCGGGTCGCGGTGGCAACAGGCCAAGCAGGCTGACCCAGACTTCCCTCTCACCGGCAACATGTTCCAGCTCATTCTGGGGGATGCCGAGGCGTTCCCAGGCCAGCTGGGAGATGTAATCCCTCCAGCGTGTTCTGGGTCTTCCACGGGGTCTCTTCCCAGTTCCCAAATAAACAAACAGGGAATATTAGATGCAAGAAAACCAAGGCTGGAAGGCTAGAATCACGCGCTAAATATTCAGCAGAGGGGGAGGGTAACGAGGGACAGGTGGAACCAATCGGTGTGGGACAGGTGGACGCAAAGGCGGGAAACACCCAAGGGCAAGACGTGAGGTATCTGAGGAGCAGGGCGGGACAGAACGATGAACCTTTTCCATCTTGGGAGATCCAGGCTGTGTTCAGTAACACATGCTAACGTACTGTTTACACTGTTGATGTCAAATCTGGTATGTAGTGTGTTCGCCCTGCGTAGTATGTGCACTTTGTGTACGGGACAAAATGCCTGAGTTTATAATACATGAGCAAGAGTTTTAAGGCTTGAGCACTTTTTCAACTGCAATGCATTGTGTCTGGGTGCCTTGAGACCGGCTGTCAGTCTTGTGAGATTTCAAAACAGATTAACAACAACAGAACAATCTTTGTTGCTTCGGAAAGTTCCAAAGTATGAACGTGTCTGCCATGAGAAGAGCTCGTCACATTCTCTAAACGCTACAGAAAGGTGCTTCAGTGCTTCCTCTCCTATCTCCTTTAGCGTAGGGAACACTGGACCATACTGTACCAGACAGGAAAGGAGTTCATGCCGTCCCACAATTTCTTGCAGCTGCAACATTTAAAGCTGAGGACCGTCAGGCTGTCAACATCCGCCGTTGCTGTTTAGATGTACACTGTGCGGTAATTAAAAACATCGTTCTCAGGAGGGGAAATTTAGTTTTGGACAGGAATCCTCCCATGAGTTTGTTATTGTATTAATATTCACAACAGCAAATATAAAAACATAAGTGCAGTCTGATTTTCAGTTCTCTCCACATCCTTCCTTGAACCCATGACATTTTCCATAGAGTTCAAGGAAGAGCGGTTAGGACAAGACATCTTTCAAACCGCAGCGAATACCTCCTGCCCGTTGTTAAACTTCGTCATTCAAAATGATTCCATGGCTCGCTTCTGATCCATTAGTCACACTGGAGTATCTTAAGAACATTGTTTCTAAATCCAGTAAATGTCTTTGAGGATTAAGCACTTGTCTAATAAGAATGGACTTAATAATCGATCATCACCTCAAGAAACATAATAATGTTTGAAAGATTCTTTACAAGGCAAAGGTCTGCTTCGCCCTCTGCAGACTTGTTAATCAGACAATGGGCGCTAACGTCTCCCTCTCTGTCTCACTCTCACACTCTCCCCACCCCTATATGTCTCTCTCTCTCTCTCTCTCTCTCTCTCTCTCTCTCTCTCTCTCTCTCTCTCTCTCTCTGCACCCGTTTCTTTCTCTGTCTATATCTCTCGACCAGCAGTGAAAGGTGCAGAGCTTCAGGCGATCAAGTCAGAGTTGACTCAGATTAAAGCCAACATCGAAGCTTTGCTGGGCAGACTGGAGCAGATCACAGAAGACACACACATCACCTCCTCAGGTGACACACACACACACACACATGCACGCAAATCAAACAATCATATTAGGAATGATGAGAACAAGATGGAGATTATGTAAACAATGTGCTGGGATTATGTTGATGTGCCTCTGCTCATAGCCGGCTGTTGACAGAAACATGATCACAGTCGGGTATGTGGGGAACTCTACCTCTGAATACAACCAACACAACTCTGACTCTCTTATTCAGCTGTTTGATTAAAAAAAAAACAGACTGCAGCATTCACAAAAAGATACAGAGTCAGAAGGTTATTAAAACGGCAGCCCAGAAGATTATGGGGTTTGTGAAGGGACATCAGTAGCCATGTTGGTCTTAGTCAAACTAAATATTGTAGTGGTTTTAATATTGTTTTTCATTTTAGAACAATGTAAATTCAACATCAATTTTGAGTTTTAGTTAGCCTTGAACCAAGATATATATTCTTTTTGTGGTATTGATATGTAATGCATAAAATACTGCTCTGCCATAACTTCTCTCGACGTTTTATGTAACACATGTTCTTGCATATTTGATGTTGTACTTCAGATTTAGAGCCGGGTTTGTTGGGGGCTTCGACAGTTCACTTCCTTATTAGAAAGTCTCTGGGAGCCACGTGTGCTTTTCAGCTTCCTGGAGACAAAAATGGAAGTGTCACATCAAGAGAAATGAGCAGGAAAGAACATGAAATATGACTTTCCTCATTGATGTTACTCTCTGCGCTGTCTTCTGAAGACATACTGTATGTGGCTTATTTGATGTTTCAATGAAAAAGTCACCGAGGCCATGCACATTTTTTTTTTTACATTATAAACCAAACCCAGCCCGTGATGAAATACCTGCTAAAATAAAGTAAATCTGCCAATGGAAAAAAAAAAAAATCATGTGCAAGGAAAAGTATGCCACAGTATAAATAAAAGAAGAAGAGAGAACCGAACAGAAAAAAGTACTTTCATGGGAGTAAGGTCAAGCTCTTCTGTTTTTAGCAAGACAGACCGGGAAAATATTTCTTTATTTACCGTCATCTGCTTAAATCTGAATATATGACTGAAGATGTGACTGACATACAAACAGATAATGTGGTACAATATGCATGGTGCACACTCAGTTAATTAAATAAAGCGCTACATAAATCTGCATACAAGGTGGCTGTGCAATGACATGTAAGTGAGCTGTGGGAAGAAGAGTGACTGATTCTTTGGTAGTGTTTCCCAGATGGCAGAGCAGCAGAGACAGTAGGGAATGAGCTGGCTAACACATTTACAAAACTCTACAAATATACTGCATCATTTTTGTCGTTTGATGTTTCATGTTTTGTACATTAGAGCTTCTACATTTTCTTTCATGAGCCAAAGTACCCTGAACAAGATACAGAATATACCTGAGACCCCCTCATGGATGTCCCTTTGAATCATTTCTAGTAGCTTTTCCCCCCTTCTGTCGTCTTACTTATGTAAAAAGTTGACTGTAAAGTTGACTGCCAAGGGCGGATAAGGCATGCCAAGCGTTCCTATCCAAGGTGCCGAGTGAGAGATCACATACGATGTTATATGGGACTCATCCACCACCTCAAACCTCCCCATGACATGGACTTCCAAAGACGCCATTGAAACTTATTTGGGATGTATCAAAAGCAATCGTAACCAAACACGTTACCCCTCGCAACATAATTCACAATGTAGTTTTGTCATATGGGAACGTAACTTTTAGGAGACGGGACTTTAATGAGATGCAAAAGGCTTTCAACACTGTAATGACAGGGCTTGTGCCTAAGCTGCATGACAAGGGGGGTGGGACCATGTTGAAATTAATATAAAACACCCAATTTTACACAAGAATATCTGGTTTGAATACAAGTTCAATGTCGAGCCACAGGCCCAAGTCATTTATGCATAGTTTTATGCAGACAAGTACCATCATTACAAGTAGAGTTTAGTTTTACAAGGCAGTTATTAGATTGAAACCAGTTTAGTTGTTATCCAATTGTTGGGCCGTTTAGTGTTTGAACTTTGGGGGCATCATCATTTGACATCTGTTCATGTCATTTAGTAGATGTAATGTTAAGTGTAATTATGGGAAACAAATACAGGATAACATCACACAGAAGGGCCCAGAGGGAGGTCAAGTAATATTTCTCCCATCTGCTGTCAGGCTGCAATTCAGACTGCTGTGATGAACAAAAGGCAACAGATTTGTGGACCTGCACAGTTTGAGGAGGATGTGGTCAACCTGAGGGGCCTCTGACAATCACGTTACTCTAATGCTCTCTGGGATATTTAGTCATCAGTGTTGTTTGTATGTATGTATATAGAATGACCTCTGAACTTGCTTTTGCTTGTCACAGTTGTGGTGTAGAAACTAGAGCTGGAGGAACTGGTAATTCATATCCAAAACGTTTTACACAGACCTCAGTGTTTTAATCTGTATTTAAACATTATGAAGGTTGAGGACAGATGTGGTGACCACCACAGGGTTAAAATGGAAGCAAATCTTAATTCATGGAAAATAACTTGCATGTAACATCCTCCTGGAAGCATAGGCCGACATCAAAGCATGACAATCAAAGCACATTGTGTCTTCACTGGCCAGCAATACTTCTTCCATACGACCAATACATATCCTAATAAAATTAATTTGAATCCAGCCTCATGAAATCATTACTTAAAAATTACAGAATTGCCCACAAAGACAGTAGGTCACCAAGACAAATATAAAACTACATATAAGAGCGAGTGGATGGAAACAGACTCCGAGATGAAAAGAAAGCAGAACCAGCCATTCTCTGAGAGCATGTGGAGCTGGACAGTGTACTGAGCTTATATCTGCACCAGGAGCCTGGGATGCAGCTTCAGAAACAACACACAGTGTGAACAAAATGTGTGTGTAGCCTGATTCACTGTTAGGGGTCTTGGTCATTTCATGTATTTCTGTGAGACCACGGTAAACAGCAGTAGTGTTGGGAGCCAGGTCGTCCAACAGTAATCAAAGTGAGTAAGGAAAAGGGTATCGTGCATGGGAATAAGGACTTTCCAGTTTCCAAATGCCTTCCTCTGCTGACCACATGCAGCTTCTACTGTCTGTAAGTATGTTTACGAGAAGACCTGCTCATAGATATTAACCCCATCATTAATTATTTCCAGGGCATCTATGTTTTTGAGAAAGCTCAAAGAGCATGGATGTAGTTAAACTGTCCTTTAAATGTCTCCTCACCAACCAAAAACACATGCCAATACAGCCAATCAGAGCATTTAAAGAAAGTGCTCATGTTCACATTCATATTCAGCACAAACACACATACATTCCTACCTCACCAACAGTGGACGATCATGCTACTCCAACCAAGTATGGACCTCTTTTTCTGGTCATTTTGAGAAGATAAAAAACAAGAATAGAACATTTCTTTAGGTTCCTGGAATATTTTTGCAAATGTGCTTTGTCATTGTTAGTTTTTAAGACAGGAGGGGACTTTCATTTACAGCATTCCTTCACCTAATGTGTGCTTGTTTACTGTAAAGACTTTCTTTGTTTCTTTCTAAAATTGATAATTTAACCTAAATGTTGTCAATATTTTAAAATATAATAAAAATAATCATGGCCACTTCAATTGAGAATAAGTAATGTTTTACCTGCAGCTCAGAAGTAACTTGGCTGCATGCACTAATGTCAAGGACTGCAGTATTGGCACTAAAATGTAATGTATAGTCTTTAATATAAATGTATACATATTTTCTTGTTAGTTACATTTTAGAGATTGAATACAACAGTGTAATAATATTCATGTCTGTGTTAATGCTGGTCAGTTATTGTGACCTATGTGGAATGGTGAAGTATGCTTTTTAAAGAGGAATCCTTTCATCCTGTGGATTGTATCGTATTTGAGTCACGAGGAAAAATACATTTCCCAAATTTAGGCACGTTTTGAATCATGTGTCATCTAAACTGTTCTGCCTTGGTCTCTCACACGTTTGTGCACAGACACACACACACACACACACACACACACACACACAGGACACTTACCTGGATACTTCAGAGCAGACTATTGTGTGACATTTTATTTTTCCATTGTTTCTTTATCATTGTATCACAAGAATCAACTCTCAATCAATGCTTGAAATCAGTCTCTTCTTTTCAATCATAAAGGACGGCTCTGTGTTTTCTCTGCTTAAAGAGATAGGAGAGGAAACAATGAAGGTCCTCTCATGGGACCTTGGAGAATTCCACCAGCTGTTTTTATGGCTGATACGTGTATTATACATGTTATACTTTCCACATTTTTCTAACTTTTGTGTGTGTGTGTTGGTGCAGAGCTGAGGAAGGCGGGGGAGTGTAAGAGCGAGGAGGCGTGGCAGGAAGGGGAGGAGTCGAGCTCAGAGCTGGAGGACGAGGAGGAGCACAGACAGAACAGCGAAGCTGAAGAAGAGGAAGAAGAAGACGACGAGGAGGAAGAAGAGGAGGGAGAGCACACGCAGGACGACACCCATGACCACATGCTGGTATTTACACCTGTGTGTATGTGACAAACACAATGAGGACTCCTGTAAGTTTACGGTTTTGTGAGGACCTTTGGACATCCTCACAGTAAAAGACAGATTTCAGAAACAGCAATGAACAGTGTGAAGAATGATGGTCCTTTTATTCCTCCTCAACTTCTGCTTTATTGCTTTAATAGTTTGATACAACATAATGAGTGTGTTGCTTACAAGCTTTTAATATCTTAAATCTCCTCTTGTAGAACAATGAAGAGATGAACTAAAATGAGCTGATGATAATCCATAAGTCATTTAAGTTGTTAGTTAAACTTAAACTCCAATTGTTTTGTTTTAAATATTATGTTAAATTGGGCTTTGGACTGTTAATCAGGCAAAAGAAGCATATTTCAGCAAAGACCCTTAGGCTCTGGCAAACTGTGAGGGGCCTGTTTTACTATTTTCTGATATTGTGAATCAAAAAGATCAACACATAAATAAATAGTGTCAATAACTGATAGTTGCAGCTATATAGCAGTTCTTGTCAAGATCAGAGGCAATATCAAGCAATTTATTTTAGTCAATATTCTGTTCCCGTAAGATAGCATATTTATGTATTTATTTTGAATATTAATTTAAGGCTTAAGCATTCATAGCATGCATCAAGCGATGCATTTTAGCTGACTCGCATGGTGTGAGGGACTGCTGCGCCTGCTGCACCAAGATCCCGAGATGTGTTTCTTTCTTGCTGAATTAATTTGTACTGTATTCATACAAAAAACATCACTCACCTGACTAATAACACAACATTCCTGCATTATAACATTTTCCATACAGCCAATAATAAACAAAATACACATAATTCTGTCTGAAATGTAACATTTTACAGACAAAGTTTCAATCATTATTCTGACAGTGAACTAGCCTCATTATCAGCTGCAGGGAATAGTAGAATCAACAACATATGAACACCAGTAAATATTTAAAAATAAAAAGGAAATATGAAAGCCTCCAGCTGTTTTCTCTGAAAAACACCAGGAGGCTCCCTGGCTTGAGATCTGTGGGAACCAGCCCAGTCGGCCTAATCCAACGTAGGCACTGGCTCACACACAGCAGTTGGAGTGACTCACTGCAAACACAAACACAATCTGCCACAGTGGAAAACCGTACGCCGCCACTCCAGTGACGTCCCTTAAGGAAAATTAATTAATATTCCTAGCATTCATAAAAGCTTAAAGGCTGTATAGCCTGAAATCATAAATCGTGTTATGATTGGTCACTCGAAAGACAAATAATCAGCAACTCAATAAGTCATTTTTCAACATTACTTAGTTCCAGCGTCTCAATTGTGAGAATTCACCGCATTCCCTCGTCTTTTGTGATGATTAATTTAATGTAATCGGCTTTCGGACAGTTGGACATTAAAAACAAGCTATTTGAAGATGTCACCTTCTTACATTTTAATGATCAATTAATATAGAAATGTGCACATTCCAGTGATCTTACTTTCATTTTCACTGGCATGGTATATGTAATAATATCCATAATATTTTAGGGAGGCATGCATTTGTACTGTATGCAGCACATATGTGTATATATATATATATAAGCATATGTTCTATGACGACAACACAATGTATCACAAAGCTTATATTTATGTATGTTACTGAAATGAGCACACTGAAGATGTTAACCATGGCTGTAGATGGTAACACAAAATCCCTCCTAGCGTTTCATATTAATTGCCTTTACCTTATTTTTCCTCATATTAGGTTGTCTTTTGATTCTATTATAAGATGTGAGCTGTCTTCTTGTGTACGTTGACTTGACTATGTATTATTTTTGTCCATGTGTTGCACGGCCAGTCTCATAGGGCAGCTAGCATGTCTGTGGACTCCTCAATAAGCAGCAGCAGGGAGAAACACCGCAGTCGGCTACCTCCACACCTATCAGCGGTACGCCACAGGCTGCTGCTCCCCACCTGCTGTAATCTAAACAGAGCTGCTCTCCCTCTCCTTCCTGCTACCGCTGACCTCGGCCGCTCTGTTTACATCAAAAATAAAGCAAGCAACTGCTTGCTGACTGAAAGCACATTTAGTCTGGTCAAATGACCAGAGAAAAGAATAATTCTAAAATAACACATGGGTGTATCCTCGGATATATTTATCAAATCGCCCAATTTCCCAGCATTATCTTATTTCCTTTACACGGTATGGAAGTTGCACAGCGAGACACAAACACACCCTCCTTTACCTTTATTATCTTCTTCAATGGGGAGGAGTATATAACAGGTACCACGTTGTTACAGCCAGGTGTCATTCCCAGGTCACCAAATACCAACGCTCTGTCAAGTCCCTCTGGGTCTGATACTGATACGCATACGCGTCTGTCTCAAGGTCCGCATCAGGAGCAGGTCGGTGTTTAAGGAAAGATCAAACAAACACAGGACTTTCATCCATTAAGTTACCATCCGTAAGTTAACTTACAAACGTACTTAACTTACGGATGTAACTTAAGCTTTGCAACAAACATACAAATTTTAAGTTACATACGTAAGTTACTTTAAGAAATATACTTAACTTACATCATGTACATAACACATAACTTTTTGTACTCATGTTACGTAACAAATGTACTTATTTTAAGTTACATACAGTATGTACGTTTCTTTACGTTAAATACTTAACGTACATAACTCCCTTACATACTTGAGCTACGTAATAAAGGTACTTATTTTAAGTTACATATCTATGTTACTTTGACCTAATAGTTAATTTACATTGCATACATGACACACTAAACTAACATACTTAAGCAACGTAACAAAATAGCAGCTTACTAAAATAGCATATGTAACTTATGTACATAACTTAAGTGACGTGAAATAATACTTATTTCAATCTTTAATCTTTTGCTGAACCTAACCGAGTAGTTTTATTGCCTAAAGTGATGTATGAATCTGTATGATCTGTATGAAAATATGCAGAATCCCAGGCTTCTTATGTTGCCTTCATGTGAGCAAAAATGTTCTATCGTAGTTTGAGGCCAATTTCACAGAATTACATATTTTAGATTACATGTTTGTGTTTTCAGACTCTGGTCTTTTCTTTTGTTGTTTTGTTCAGGAGAACAGTCGCATATCACCAGAGATGGACTCCATTCACCCATGAGAGGTGAGTGTTTCTTTATGAAATTGGGTTGCTTTCGAACACACTCAAAACCACAAGACCCGTCTTTCTCTCTCTGACGTGACGTTCAAGCAGCTGCCATTTAAAATGTCTTTTTGCCAGTATAAAAGAAGACACTTCTCAGAAATGTGCCAGCAAAATAAAGCGCAGATGATTGTCCTCTAGAGAAAGCTCTGTATGACTGAAGCACCATCATCTGTTTGAATTCCTGTAGTAAAAACTTCTGCCTCTTGTTGGATTCGTCTTGCATTCTGTTAGAGGCTTTCTGGCGCAGCCGTGTTGTGGAAGTCAAAGCAGTGACGTTTGAGCCACATTTATTTCAAACAGATCTGGAATGATCCGGGGCTGACTCATTGCGTCTGGAACTCTCTGTCATGCTTTGAAGACTGAGACCTCTTATAATTTTCACACAGACGGAGAAATATAAAACAAACACTTTCTATCAGTTATGATCAATATTTCAAAACTTTGATAGAGCAGCAGATCAAACTGGGATTTTTTTTTTTTAAACCTATATTTAGCAGTTGGGGAATGAAGGTCCTTGCTCGAGGGCACCTCAGTGGTGGTAGCTAGCTGCTCTTTCAATTTCCCCATCCACGTTTATTCTGCCGGTCCAGAGATCGAACCGGCAACCATACAGTAGTCTGTTTCTCTAGCTATTCGGCCACCTGCACCTCATTTTGGTACAAATCCTTGACAAACAACCATTTTCCAGAAGGTGTAGATACAATCTCAACACGTCAAACATTTCAACACACATTGAAAGAGCCAGTGTGGTTTTAATTTCTAATTTCAAAAGTAAATATTCTGAAACAAATCATTTTCTATATGCTGATCATAATCAAAGGAGAGCGAAAGGTTTTACTGATTCAATTAAATCTTCATATGAGAAGAGTCGAAAATACAAACCATGTAGAACTACTTGAAGGAAATGTGCAATTTATCAGGGCTGAATTAAAAAGGTTATGAAAATAAAACATCCACAGCTTTAACACAAAGTCGACATCCCTGACCCCCCACAGTTACCTTCCCATACAAGGAAACTACATTGTGAGTTATGTTTCGAGGGAAACATATTTTGTTGTGTATTATGTTTGCTTTTGAAGTATCACAAATAAGTTTCAAATGAGTCGGCAAAAGTCAGCATTTGGGAGGATGTTGGGCTTTCACCAAGGACACTGCGCTTCCTGTTTGTAGCCTAAACACAACCAACTTCTTTGGTTGCGTTTCCTGTTTTCTTCATAGTTATTTAAGGCCAAAGAATTGTTTTAACTAAACCAAACCAACTTGTAGCATTTCTTCCTTTGTTTTGTTTTTGTTTTAATTTACAGAGTTGATTCCATGTTTCAAACTGTTTGAAACTGCAACCATAACCTGGGAGGAACTAGGTTTCCCTCGACATATACTGTGAGAGCACAGTTTGGTTGTCTGGGAACGTAATAGTTGAAGTCAAAGTTGTGATTTTGATGGAGCTCAGATTCTCTTCATGTCATTGAAGGAATACATACTGTATGTATTCTTAATATGAGTTCCTCTTCATTATCATCATGTCATGTTTAATATTACTCAAGATTCATTTGTTGTGTGTCAGGCTGAGCAACAAGCTTGTTACATTGCTCTTTTTACTTAACATTGAGTTTGGAAGATGCATGTTTTGGTGCTCTCATTTTCATGACTAATAATATATTTTCTTGATTAAAGGCAACATGGCTGCTCATGTGTTATTGATGATAATGTACACAGATGTTGGTGGAGAAGGCCCTCGGTGTTTATGAACCAGAACATCATCAGTGGGTCTTTATTATCTAAGCTAAACAAAGAGGCATTGCTTTGGAACTGAACAAAAACGTTGCCGCACAATATACCAAGTGTTTCCATAAATGTTGATTTAAGTCCAGCTCATGAACTTTGATCACACCACATAAAATTAAAACAAATGTTTTCATTTTGCTCCCTAGAGTGAAATATGTCTTTTCTTCTCCAAGGTGGAGACTGTTCTGAGCAGTCCTGCTGCTTTTATTGAACAGGGCGTCATATTACAGCATTACACCCGGAGGCAAAACATCAGCTCAAAGAAGTAGAGGTGTCCTAATGTATATTTCTGTGTTTCTGCGTAAGACAATCTTTTTGGACAATTTACAAAAACAAAGATCAAAAATGTAAACAAAGCAAATATTAACACTACTTTTAAAGAAGCATTTGCCATTGGAAGATGTAAACCGTCCTTGACTAGTGGTCTTAAGCTTTCAAGGAACTGGTTTTATCTTTAGAGATTGCATTTGAAAAACAGGAATAACATGTTATTCTGTGCTCTTTCGCAAACCTTGGACACACTCCCTCAATCTTCCCTTTCTTCTCTGAATTTCCCTCTTTTGTGGATGAAAAGACGTATTCCACCCGATCTTCACTGAGCAGACTGTCTGCTTTTAATTCAAGGTCTTACCAGGAAAAGAGGCCCAATGAAGTGAGCACTCACTCCCTCGGAGAGAGTATCACGAACAAATATTATGTTCAGGCTACACGTTTCTGCCATGAGAGGTTTTTTTAGGTAAAGCTAAGAATTGGAAAAAGTAGTTTCATGTGAAAACTAAACACAGATCGAACTGTGGTTACAGCTGTGGAATCATCACTTTCTGGCCCACAGCTTAGATTTGTGTTCTGTTTGTTCTGAGGTCCACAGTTTTCACTCTTTATTCACCGGCCTTCTGCACAACCCCTGCATGTTTTGGCGAGGCATGCCATATGACTTAAAGGAATACTTTATCCACAAAATGACCTTTTGTGTATCAGTAACTCACCCCGTATTACCTTGAATTCTTGAAGCAAACTTTATTTTTCTCACGTGGCTCCAGAGGGTGAAGCTGCGACATGTGGAGCCGGCTGTTTCGCTGTTCCATAATTCTAAACAGCACCACTGTAGAAGGCAAGGTGAGGGTAAGGACTGCCATCACAGCCTCCCTGAGGTTACTGGCTACCTCCAGAAAGAGAGAGAGAGAGAGAGAGAGAGCAGCGAGATGTTGTTTTGTGCTGCAGTGTCCGAAGCAGCACACTGGTGCAAAGCAGTCGGAGATGCAATAATAACCTGGTCCCGATGAGACGGGGGTGTAGTTTTCCAGAGTTGGAAAAAGCCGCCTACGTGAAGGGATCCAAAGCAAGGCCACATCGGAGGAAGTCTGAGCAGCAGCTCTTGCTGGTAGACGTCTAAGAGGCCGTGTGCAGGTGCAGGGTTGTACCAAAATGCCTCTTGGATCTGCCACCATTGTTATGTTGCAGGGCAGGTCCTGAGAGAGTGAAAATAAAAAAAATAAAAAATGCCTTTTCTGTGAGCAAATCATCTGGGGAAGAAAAAAAGCAGCTGCTGCGAGGCTCCCGGCCAAGGTGCAGATGGAGAAAAGCCATCGCTCGTGGGGCTCCTTATCCCTCAACATCAGCCTCCAGTGCTCCCAGCGGGGAGGAGGGAGAGTTTCAGAGAGATAAAACTGTGAGTTTTTCCCAGTAAATACTTTGTCCTCTTACTCAAGTATATTCTGATGACTTCTTCTTGAGTACTTGTTTTTGCAAGCAGTACTTTTACTTGAGTACAATTTGTTTTCTATACCCACCTGTGTGTGTATACCACCTTAGAATTGTGCTGATGAGGTGAGAGAAACTGGAGCTTCATGTAGGTTAAACAAAGGGAAGGAAACAGGGCATGGCGGTCATGTAAAGCATATGTCAGTGTCACAGTTACATAACATTAGTGGGGGGGATGCCATTCCCCTTGTCAGCAAAATGACCAAAATGCATCCCCCTTGTGATCCCTCCTCCTCAGCCCCTGCAGGGGAAGTGGAGTTGTTAAGTTGAATGTGTCAGTCTAGTCTGCCTGACTCATTAATCCTTTAAAATGTGTGCAAGTTAGGATCTGTGGCCCCGACCATGGCTCTGAAATACCAGGAGCTTAACTGTGTTGTGTATCGATAAATCCTTGGCGCTGTCCCAGCATGTCCTCATCCCCAGGGCGTCAACTATCGATTGTTTGTCACGTCTGATACTGACACACAAGGCGTCCTTCAGCATCTTCAGCAAGTAACTACAATTCAAAGCCATCCGTATCTTTATTTCAATCAATACTTAAATTGACATTTGGATTAGAAATGTAAATAGTCTTTGGAGATTAGACCCCATCGTAACATTAAATATGTTAAGGCGGTGGTGAAGCTGTACAGCTGAGAGCAACAGAGAAAACAAACAGATTTAAAGCTTAACAGCAGCGACGCGATTGGCTGATGGACTCGTGGCAATCGTGGATCTGGTTGGCTCAACTAAAAGATTGAAGCCCGTAATCAGCCGATTAAGAAGAAATGTGACGAGTGAGAGAGAACTGTGAGTAAATGAAGCCTAAAGACGGTCTTGCTGATTAAAACCACACTGAGCGTCATTATGCTCAAATGCTCTCGGGAGTTTGATGACGTAGTATAAAGACCGCAAACAAAACCACAAAGGTTGGGAGTGAAGGTGGATGAGCCACACCAACGCAGGACCTTCAACGAGGAGACCGATGTTCGTGTTCCAAAGTTTTGAGTTACTTAGAAACGTGTTTTCCGTACTTATGTTACGTTTTAAGCCCAATCATGATGTGTTTTTTCTAAACCTATCTAAGTGGTTTTATTGCCTAAACCTAAGCAAGGCGTTTTTGTTTAAACTTACAACTTAAACCACGTGTTTATTGACCCCACGGGTCCTCATCATGCAACGAGTGAGTGTGACAAGTTGGAATGAGAACATGTCGGCTGTACGTGGTGCTGAAGTAGAAGACTGCCGTGTCCTTCTGTTTCAGTTTTATCTTGGATCTTTAATATTCTCTAAACTGTAGGGGGGGGGGTTATTAAACAATACAGAATTAAAAGAGTTGTTCATGGAACGGTCTATAAATCGCCTTTATAGCAGACACAATGTAGTGAGCTGTGTTCAGGTGACAGACCTAAAGAGGAATCTTTAACACAGCCCTGATGTTTGTCCTTCTGTACAAGTGCGTGGGTCTGTGATGAAGTTCAGACTCAGCAGTAAAGTGTGACATAACCTCATTGCTGGGACGAGACCTGCAGCGCCTCCCAGAGGACAAAAGCTGAGAGGAGCTCAGATCTTTTTTGTTAATGCGGTTGTGGTACAGCAATTAAACTGATGCACTGCAATGTTTTGATGGTAACAGACGTCACTGTGCATGCTGAGTATCTATGTTTGCAGTACAGTGCTGTGTCACAGTCAGTTTAGTAAGAAGTGCTCCACAGTGTAACATTACTGCATTCAAAATCCTTCATAAGGAAAATGTACTTTAGGTATTAGATCTCTTCACGGTACCCTTTTTAGGGGGATTTGTTTTTGTCTGCCCACAAGAACAGAATTTGTACACACAAGTTATTATGAGTGAGTTATATACACTCCTGTTAGTTGTGTGGTGGGCCAATTTACAACTTCACCAGTCCATGTTGACCTCACATAAATCCCAGCAAGCAGTAGCTCGCACAGCTCCAAACTGAGGTCTAATCAGCTGCTTAACTGAGAGCATGTGGAGGCCCTTTAATCCATAACAGTGCGTCATATTTAATCAGCTTAAGCTTTTTATGTCAAATAAAAGCAACTTTAGCTGTTAGTTAAATCTAAAAAGGGAAATATTCAACTTTTTACTTTCTGAGATGAAGTGGAGTAAAATGTATGAAATAGCATAATACTGAAGTACAATGTGAAGGTTCTTTATGTAAGTATAGTACTTGAGTAATACTCGGGTACCTTCCACCACTGGTCACAGGGCAATTACTCATTAAAAGGACAAATGTATTGTTCTTTCATTGTTGATATAGTGTTCATACATAGTACCATTGGTACCAATACGTCATACAAGGTTTTGGGGAATGGAACTGAATAATGCTCTAAAAACTGGCATGCGGTTTTTGAAGGTCCCTTGACCTCTATCTAACCTCAAGGTATGTGAATATGAATTGGTTCCAGGCCCACTTCATGCTAATCTCTTGCAGTTTTGTGCAAAAACAATGTGCTTTTTTTGCATGCAGTATAAGTTTGTAGTATTTGTTATTTCCGCCTGTTCTAAAATGGTGTATTTGAATATTTTAAATGCAGGGACTTACTACGACTAGGGATAGAACATCAAGTAAAGGCTTCTTTAAGTTGTTTATTACAATTGAATGCTTCTCGATTTTGTCTTTGTTTTGTCATCTTTCTGCGGATGTCCACTACATTGTCCATGGTGTTCCTCAAGGTCTTTGTTTCTTAATTTGCCATTTTAGAAAGATTTATTTTATTATCTTTTCTCAGTAAAAAAAATAGTAAAAAATCAAATCTGTGAAACTAAATGTTATCAACCCAAAAATTGACAACAACACATGAGATGTAATTGTTCCTTTTACACTCTCAAAATGTTATTTTAATTCATTCATTCATTTGTTTATTTAATTTTTTTATTTATGACCAAAACAACTTGACACAAAGTGCTGCGTCTGAAATGAATCATCAGCGACGTGTGCCACTTCTCTTTGGCATCTACTGCTGACCTGATATCTCCCCCTAAAGGTCCCCCGTCCCCCCGTCAGAGAGACACACTCAGCTCCGTTTGTGTCTCGGTAAACGGACTCTTTAAAGAGTGCTTTGGTTTGATTTGAAGCTGTGGATCTAAGCATGAACAATCTTTTTTCATTTTGCAGTTACAACAATCTCTGGAGAAATAAGTGGAAGTGAGTGAATCCATCAGAAAGTGATTCAAATATTTGAATCCTAGCAGGCTTCATTTACAATCACATGTTTCCAGGATTTATCATCTCCAGAAGTTACAGCAGTAAATCTGTAAATCCTAAACTTCAAATATTTGAAAATGGTTCAGCTCTGCTTTTTCAAGCTTTCCAGGATCCTCCACGTCTCTTTTTTCCCCTCACCTCTTAAAGTGTGACATGTTAAAGGGACAGTTCAACATTTTAGTAAATACACTTATTTTCTTTCCTTCAGAGAGCGAGTAGAAGAGATCTCATGTATCTGACTGAAGTACGGTGCTGAATGAGGACATGGTTAGTCTAGATTTGCATCGCAAAGACTGGAAGCAGCTGCCAAAGTCAAAGAAATACACCTACCAGCACCTATAAAGTCTAAAATGAATACAGACAGAAACATTTCAAGCTGGAATATATCTGCAAATACAGATCTGACAACAGACAGGTAAACACGCAACACGTTTATCATTTATTATTTTTGTTCTAACAAAGTTTCAAGAAGTCCACCCAGATTGTTCTCCAGCTGGTTGTGATGACAAAACTGAGATGCCGGGCCCCTGTCCCTCTCCGTCAGGACAGGGCCCCTAGATCTAAAGTTAATGTTGTGCTGTAGTGATACATATTTGCAGACACGTTGTTTCAATTAAATTAGCTGAAACATGTCGACCCACTGTAAGCCTGGAGCTGTCATGGTGTCGATGCCCCTCTTTGCCCACTTGGAAATGAAACACGGCCTCGTGCTTTATCGTGGTTTTTGGTTTTACAGTTTTGGCACAAAACTAAATAGCTAATAATTAGAGAATTTGTGTCCAAACAAATAGCATGAGTTTGATGATGTCTTTATTCATTGAAGCCAATAAGCACTTCTTTGTATTGTATGCACACATATGAATCTTAATATTTCACTTCATCGTGTTTCTTTTTCAATGGTTTTTTTGAGCCATGCAACGCAAAGGAGGTCTGTCAGTTGGTCATTCCAACACTTCTGTCCAGGTTGAAATATCTCAACAACTACTGCCATGACATGTGGTACAGTCACGCAAGGTTCCGATGATTTTCCTCCAGCACCAACATGAGGTTTACATTTGTGCACAGAGTGAAATGTCTCCACGACTATTGGATGGATTGCCATGAAATCTGGTGCATGCATTCAAGTTACTTTAAATGAGGAATTGTAATGATATTAGTTGTAAAATATCCATTTTGTCCAATACTTTTGTTTCTGACCAAATACCTGCAAAGCCAATAGCATTCCCATCAGATTCAGGTGGTGAATATGGCAAACTTCATGCCTTCCAAACACAGGCATGTTTACATCGTCCTTGTGAGTGTGTTAGCATCCTGACAACCAGGTGAAAGCACCACCGTGTGTTAGTGCGGCCTCACAGGTTCACTAAAGACAGTCTTGTGCTTTACACATCTGTGTCTGTAATCTTGATTTGCGATTGTGGCTGCAAACGTTTATTCGCACTTGTTTCTCTACTTCTGTTGTTCATGATTTGTCCTCTTGTGTTTCAGGTAGTGTGGACTGAGGAGGAAGGGACAAAGAGAGGGGGAGAGACAGAGAGAGAGCGCCATGGACAGACAGGGAACTGGATAACAGCACAGGAGGCCATCAAACAGCAGGGAGCCAGACACACACACACACACACACACACACACACTGTAGAAACACACAGTAGTGAGACAGACACAGTAGTGAGACAGACTTGACACTTTGTCAGAGCCACATATACGCTCTGCAGTTGACAGCCGATTGGGAAAGCTGGAGCTCATCAGAACATCCTGCAGGACAACGCGACTGAGCGGCTGACGCGCGGAGGCAGAGCCGGCTGGAGACCTTGTTGGTGCGAATCCTTTTGAAATACAAAAGGAAAAAACAAATCCTGAACAAAAAAGTGACGGGCTGGGCTTCATGATATTCGTTGATACTCAATATTGCAAATTTAGGCTGAATCACATAAAGTAAACCCTTTGCTTTTTGGGTAAATGGGATAGTTTCCAAGAAATTTCCTGGGTTTTGGAACTTCTAATAAAAGTAATAGTCAAAGCAGCAACTTAAGTTAAACTGTGAAGTTTGTCTCCAGGCAATCATATAATCCAGCGCACTATATATGGAGAGTTTCCACTCATTGGTTCATATTTGTTTGTCATAATTCTAAGACATTTCTTTAAATTATGATGTTTTTTTCAAGACAATTCCTTTTTCAGTTACGCGTTACTCGACTCTGCTAAAGGCCCTGAAAAAACAACAGAAGGTGTTTTTTTTCAGGGCCTTTGAGTGAACAAACCAAAACATGACAACGTTTTGACCCAAAAGGTACTGGGTGACAGTGCATGACTGTGAAAGCTCATTACTATTAGTTGGAGGTAAAGGCAGTATTGGAAATTGTCAGTCTGTTGCCACCGTGTTGTAAATTCAGTCCTAATAAAGGAACAGATGGACAGAGCTTTAATGCTGTTGAAAATGTGAATCTCTCTCACTGCATTTCCTTGTTCCCTTTTGATCTCATCTTCCTTCCTTCGGTCTTCACTCCCTCTCCCCAGTTCTTCCGTTTCTCTTCTTCAGACGTATTTACCAGCTTCCTTACATTTCTGACATATTTACTTTGTTCTCGTGTTTATCTGGTTTTACCTTTTTATTTTCTTTACTTGCTGTTTGTCCCCTTCTTTCATAGATCTCGTTTCCCTTTCAGCCCCGCCTCTTCCTTGCTCCACTTTGTCTTTCACTTTTATTTCATGTGATCTTTTATTTTCTCTTTTCTTCTGTTGTCTTTGTTTTGTTTCCTGTCTTCCTTCCTTTTGTTTTCTTTCTTGTTCTTCCTCTACCTGAACCTCTCCTGTTCAAGATGAAAGAAAGAAGTAACATCAGAAGGGATTCACACAGGTCCCTTCTTCTTCTTCTTCTTCTTCTTCTTCTTCTTCTTCTTCTTCTTCTTCTTCTTCTTCTTCCCAAACCGTGATCTTTTCCTAAACCTAACCAAGTGGTTGTGATATTAACGATATTAACCACGTGTTCAAAACTACGACCGTTACGTTTCGATAAGAGGAGGAATCCTTGACACAGGTGCGGGCTGCTTATTTAGGAAATGTATAAGAGGGTAGGAACAACATATGTGGTCGTATGGGTTGGAGGACGTGTTGGAATGGGAGGCTCATTGTGCTCACTTCTATGAATGTTCCTACTGACGAAGAAGTTAGTCGAACCCAAAATGAGATCTGAATGAAGTTCACCTTTGCACAGCCTAAACACTGTACATCCTTGTATATACTTGTTATAATCCCATGAATAATCATCACACATCAATGCATTTTGTAAACATCGGTTCATGTAAAGGTGAGCTCCGTCCTACAATAAGAAATGAAATACGATGGTGTGTTTAACAGATCGACCACGATATGGCAGACCATTACATTTGGTTCGCAATGTATCTTTGACTTTACTTCTCGCTCCAAAATAAGAAGTTCAGTGGAATTTGCTTAAAAGAACACAAGCGATGTGAGCTGTTGTTTACCTTCAGAGGAAGATGTCGACTTTCTCTCTCCTCTCTTCTTCCTGTTTCTTGTCTCCACCGTGTCCCTGTCTTTCGCCTGTTGTTCTTGTCTGATTTCTACATGCAGATGTTAAATAGGCTTTGCTGTTATTTTTAATGACTTGTGTATACTGTGTGATGAAAGTGATTATGCTGACTCTTCTCTGTCTGCACTGAGAGGGTGCCAGAGGCCTTTACAACACATGTAAATAATCCAAATAAAAGGCTGGAACTTTCGTGATTACTGACCGTGAACTGAAATATCTGGTGAAGTTTTCAATCTCAAGTTTCTTTTTCTTTCTTTCTTTTTTTACTTTTGAGCTTTTGAAAATGTCTTCTCCACATCTCGTCTCACTCACCGCAACAGGAATGCATTTTTGCTTGACAGCACTGCGCAGTAGATACACGTTATTATCGAAACCATGTTTCAAATGTTACTTTTCCAACAAAAGTACTCCTGGACGTGTCAGTTACTGCTCGTCACATGCATTGTGTCTTTCAAAATCTACAGGAAGTTATGTTTCGGCAACAAAACCACTTAGTTAGGTTTAAGGAAAGAGTGCGTATGACGTTAACCTGACCTAACAACTCAAGTCACTCACGTGACTAATGACACTAACGACTCACGTGATTAACCGCACTATCGAGTCTCGTGGCAAATTGTCAACGTTTACGTTGAGTTTTGTTGGGTAAACGAACAGCTCCCGTCTCCGGCACGAAGCTTTGGTGTTTGATTGACCGCTCCACCTCAACTCCCACTCGTCCTTCTGGCTCTTTATACTACATCAGTTGCTCTTACCATCTAATAGTGACCCGAGCGGGTTTACATTTGAGTTAATTGAAAGTGTGATGCAAGGGTATATCACGCGCAGATGGGCTCCTACGAACCAATCTTTATTTGACGAGCTGGGAGGGATATCGGTTGTTTGCAGCCCAGTAAATCAAGCAAGCCACGAGAGGCCAAGGCTAACGGTGATTTTACAACAGTCACGGGGATTTTGTAGCAAATGTCAGCTACATTCAGCCCTCTAGGCCAGCATCAGGACAGCTTCTGTACAGAGGCACTTCGCAAGCAGTGGTTGGTGTCGTTTACAATTCCACAGCAACATAAAGCCAGGAGAAAGAAATAGAAAATGTTCTGACCATGCTGCATGCTTACGTTATAACCACACAGTTTATACCATTGGCAGCTATTATGCTCACATTTCCCGGGCCGTTGTCACTTGCCAGCGGTATCGTATCGTGAAGGCCTCTCCATTGCAGGCTGGGTTTCAGCCCCTGTGTGTCAGTGTCGGCAAAACACCAGCCAAGTGCGATTGGATGAACGGTTGTCAAGAAACATCTGACAGACCAGCCCTGATCCCTTAAAACAAAACACATCCCCATACGATGAAACTGCATTGTGAATAAAATGTTTTGTGGTGGATCACGCTCAGGTGTGTGTAGGGAGGAGGTTGAGGCTCTGGATGGGTGAAAAAACAACACAACATTCACCCAGGAGACTGCTGTTTGTGAAGCAAGTACTTTTATCCTCTAAATATAACCAAGTGCTTTTGTTGCCCAAACCTAATCAAGTACTTGTGTTGCGTTTTTTGTTTCGTTTTAATTTTGTAGTAATTTCAAGGGAGACCATGATGTTTTTCATTAAACCCAACAAAGTAGTTTTGTTGCATTTTTTTGGGTTTTGTTTTGTTTCAATTTACAACGTTCACCACATGTTCCAGACTGTTCCAAACTGTTTCAAATCATTTAAAACTGCGACCAACAGCAGGGCGGTGTACATAAACCACAGTGTGTGGGTTCATGGTGATGAAGGAACTTCAGTCATACAGTCCAAGAGCGTGGCTCAATTTTGTGTTTTAAACAGTTTTCAGAAAACTATGGAGATGTATCAGGCTTTGGTACTCGCATAGTGGATCAGTTCTTTGTCGTCTTCGGTCTTTTCATGGGATTTGTTGACAAAAAGAAAAATACAGAATATCACCAGACTAATCTTTTCAGATGAGAACTGACCATAAAGGAATGATCTACCATGAATTCTCGAGCACCCATTGAAATGTTGGCACTTTACTCCTTGATACAGCAAAATAAAGCAGCAATTTTCCAATAAATTTGGATAAAATGTTGAATGAAGAGACGGGAACAACAAGGACTATAAACTCTGAGTCAAGTGAACTTGGCTCTGATCTAAATCCTGTTGAAGTGAGTTATAAAGTAGACCTACTAGACCCTCACTCAGCACACCGCTTAGTGTTTTAGTTTGCTTGCAGATCCCCAGCCTACTGTTACTTCACTTGACTGATTGAGCTTCACTGTGCAGACTGATGCATGTTCACATGCATCTGCTGAAAGGGGAGAGTTGCTCGCCTTGAAGTTCATTTTAAGTCTTTAAGTCTTAAGAGCTTCAGTATGTGACATCGCAGCAAGTCTAAAAGCCAATATGCAACTTACACAAGTGTAATGTTGAAATTTAAAGCCTTCAGTGTTCCAGTTCCAACATGTGTAGAAATAATCTTTGAGAACAAATGGCATTGACTGGACGGGAAAGCGAACAATACAACACCAGACTCTCCCAACTGTCAACATCAACTGAGCTGGACAGGAACAGAGATCAGTTGTGACAGCGTGTTATCTGCATCCGAAGACACATGTTGCTTCGCATCAGCAGCAGAGGGGATCTGATTAGCTTCTGGGGAGATACTGCTGGATACCGTCCACTCTGAAACTCTTCCCGTCATTTTCAAAATCCCAGGGCCACACGGGAATACAAACTATAGCCGCCATGAGTTCTCCCTCTCAGAACTCCCTTCATCTGAGAGCTTTTTAAGCACACTAGCTTTCAACAATCGACTTGAACCTTCGACCTCTGCGCCTGTAAACGCTTAAGCTTTTGAACTTGTTAATGTTTCTACTCAAATGTTGCTTTCTCTGAGCTTTTCAGACATTCCTCCAGTGAATTTATTTAATGTCTTGTTTTTAAATCGTCTTGTTTTTAAATCGTCTTGTCGTAATGTTTTTATACACTTTTTAACTGTTGCTGCTGTACTGATGAGTCGCCAACTCAATTTCGTTGTATGTTCGTACGATGACAATAAACATCCTTATCCTTATCCTTAATGAGAAGATACGCAATACCTGAAATCAAGGCTTTTTGCCGTAGCCTTTACACCCTTACATACTTTACCTGTTAGACCCCAGTGTGTGAGAGTTAAGCGCTTTAGAAGCTTATTTGCAGCCGTTTGTTGATACATTGGCTTTCAGAAAGTACTTCAAATGGGAGGCAGAATCTGAACTTGTAACCTCGACACCTGTACACACTTAATATCTTTCAAAATGTACTTGAAACTTGGGAAACACGTGGATTTCATAACTTATTCATGGTTATAAAAATCGTCTTTGGGCTTCTTCAGTTTTTCATTTCTGGTTTACTCATTAGACCAAAATGTACCAAACCAAAAGATGTAAAGTTGTGTATCTGCATACAAGGGCGTAACGCTTCTTCCAACACAACAAATCCACCAGTTTAACCAACAGAAGTCTGGAGAGAATTAAACAAAGTAGTTGCTCATGAAAGGGTGGTGAAGCTGTGGCTGTTCCAGTTCCAGTGGTCAGTTTACGTGAAGGTTCTCTACACCATTCAGTGCATCGATTTAACAGCAAACGACTATTTGCTGTGTAAAGATATAGTGGAGTAAGGTCTACCTGAGCAGATAATGAAGTCGCTCTCCCTATCTGTGTGCTGTAAGTTGGGTTGTAATATGTTTTTTTTTTTAGTGCATGTTACTGCATGTTTGTGCATGTGACCTATGACCTAGTCCCATGCACAACTAAAAGTAAACAATGACATTGAGTCGCTACTCAGTCAAGTTAATGTCAACCACGCTTTTTTCCTAAAACAAACTACGGGGTTTTGTTGCCTAAACCTAACTTCCTGTAAGACGGAAGTTTATTTTGAAAGGGCACTGCGCATGTAACGAGCATATATCAAGTAAGGAGTGAAAATGAGTTGGATGTATGACTCAATCTATCTTCCATGACCGCTTGCACCGGTCATGGTGCGAATAACTGCAAACTGTCATTTGCATTTGGTTCAAAATGACTTCGTACAAATTGATACACTTCAAAGCACCAAAAATAACTTGAAGCAATGGATCAAAAGGGACATAGCTAGTCTTGAAAGGTGATGGTGCGTCTGGAATGGAAATACTTTTAGGTGCAACAATTAATTCTGAACGTTCACATTTTCACAGGTTTACATGATGGTGGATGGAACTTCAGCAGGGAAAGTTTGGTCTGCATGTTTGATTGAATCTGGCAGATTGTTTTTGGAAAGTAAACTGGCCACACGCTGACACGCAGAAATTCGCATTGCTTTTCCCGCCCCCATGTTTGTTTGTCTTCTGATGTCACGTTAGATCTGACACTGTTTAGTACTGTATAGACGCAAAGTGTGTGGTCCTTAGTCTTGACTGAATTGTCTGGTGTGTGCGTTCATATGATTAGAATAATGAAAAAATGGGTTCAATCTGTGGTTATGTCTGTGGTCAACAAGGTTCATAAAATCAGTTATGATTTCAAAATCCTCCAAGTTTTGGCCATTAAAAACTGACTCTAAGCATAGATTACTAAGAACTCATCTGCTAATTGTGCATTATCACGCAAGATTAGTTTCTGGGTTAGCCTCTGGATTAGCCTCTGGATTAGCCTCTGGGTTAGCCTCTGGGTTAGCCTCTGGATTAGCCTCTGGATTAGCCTCTGGGAGGAACGGGCACGGGAAGGCTGTTCCAACTCGTCCGGCCAAAAAATCCACCTCTGAATCTTTCAGATATTCAGAAGCTACTAGTGATACTGATGCAACCTTAAATACCCTCACTTGTTATTCGACCCACTGACTGTGTGTGAGTCCTTTCTTCGCCGACACAGTGGCTTTCAGAAAGTACTTCAAATCGGAAGCACAATCTGAGCTCGTAACCTCGACACCTGTATGCACTTAACCACTGATCCTCTGAGTGTTTGTTCTTCTGACCCTACTCTCAGCGAGATTGCCTTTTTTAAATCTTTCTTTTGTATGTTATCATTCAAAATGTACTTGAAACTGACAAACACGTGGATTTCATAACTCAAATACATTTTGTGTAGTTTATTAATCCCCCTGGGATTAATGGTTTGAATTCAGTCTCCCTGGACTGGCATTTATTCACTTTTACGTCTTGCTGCTAGCTTTCTTGTTAAAATGATCTG